CTCTCATTGTAGTATGTTTGGCCACAACTCTACTTATTGCTCTCATTGTAGTATGTTTGGCCACAACTCTACTATTTGTTATCGTTCGCATCCTCATCTAAGGCCAAATATCACTAAAAAAGAACCACCTATTATCTTTGTTGAGAAGATGCAACCCGATCTTCTTCCCAACACCACAGTTCCTGAAGAAGAACAATATACTACAGCTACAGATCCAGTTATGTTTATACCACCCACTGTTATTGAAGACGACTCCCTAACATGTCAAGACACACAAGAGTGCTCCTTTGATCCAATAGCAGAATCAGTCGGTATAACATCAGTCGGTATAACATGTTGCTTCTAATGTTCAACAATCTGCACATCTCCAACACACATTAGACCAAGATCAAGTGAGTCAATCTTCGGAAGAGGAATGACAGGTCTATTCCAGGAGTAAGAATAAGAATGGAGGCATAACAACTGCGAACGTCACAAAGGAGAGGTTGAGAAAGGATTAGATTGTGTCCTTTCATAGCAAGAAGCTCTTTTAGTGGATCTTCAAGCTTTGAGGGTTGTATCAACAACTTAGAGATTAGGTAGATATAGTGGTCTAACAATTCATGAAGCAAATTGCAGAACTATGGTTTGTAATCATCTCTTCCTCTTCTATTTCAAATCAGTGAAATCTACCAAACTTAGATTCTTTTTTAAATAAAATATTTAAGCTTATATAAGGAAGACTTAATTCATAGCTTGATTTGCGGCTTAATGGTACATAGAATGCAACCTATAATATTGATTTGAGCAATGAATAAAAGGGAAGCCACATGTTTTTTATTGTGGACATAAGTTCCTCATCTTAAACCACATAAATTCTTGTGTTATATATATATATATATATATATATAATCTTAAAAGCCTTTTTAAACTCTCGTCTTCCGTCGACAACGCTAAAAACGTCTGTCAGCTTCAACTCTTATTTTCCTCTCCTTCACACATGCGACATGAGCGCCTTCTTCTTCCTCTTCTTTCGGGCACAGGGGCTTCTGGCGTGCTCGGGAATCGATCTCCTTGCTTTGTACATACGCGGGTTCTTCATTGTATGAGTGCACGTTTCTTCCTCCCGCAAGCAACGCTGCTTGCTCGTCCCGCACACCGTGTCGTCGACACGCTTTCTCCTTCATGCACGACGTTGGCTTAGTCAATCTATAGCGAACCCACAACCAACAGCGACACCAACTTCTCACGCAAGCACCCATCCCAGAATTCTCTCAGTAGGTTCTCCCTTACGCGATGTTTTCTCGATTCCATCCACTTCCCATGTTGCATGTGAGTCGCCTGCTACCATTTCCTTCCGCTTCTTATTTCTCTTCCTTCTCCTTCCTCCTTTCTTCGGTCTCTGCTCTCTTCGAAAGGGACATGTGACACTTAAAAAGAGGTGCACAAAACAAACAGGTGCTTATATATATACTGATTATTACATTTTTTGACATAAGTTTCCTTGCCATGTCAAGACAAATGCATGCACAAATTAATTTGGAATCCTAAAATTTTCTTCCCTACCATACAAAGATAAGCACGTAAGTGGGCATATATTACAAGAAAAACATATCTCAACAAAGACGTGTCCACATACTTATTTTGGTGCTTTATTAAAGTTACAATTGCATTTATACTTTATATGCATATGAGACACAAAAAGTGATGTCATAAATTCATGCGATAGAGAAATTACACATGAATGTTTATTTCTCTTGGTTTTCAATTTAGAGAGAGAAAGGGGAGAGAGAGCTAAAGATAGACAAAGAAAGGGAGAGAGGAGGAAGACTTAAGAAAAATGGAGGGGACGAGCTTTTTTTTTATTCCCTTGGTTTAGAAAGATAAACAGGTAGAGAGGAAATTTTTTTATTCTTCCACCAATCTGAGAGAGACGATTTGTGGGGGCATGTCGATGAGAGTAGAAAGTACATGGATGCTACGAAGCTATAGGGTTGTGCAGATTCTATGAGAGAAAGAAAAACAAGACAAGCACAAGCAGAGAACAAAGGTAATGGAGTGCGCCATAAGACGGGAACAAGCTAGCGGAAAAGGAGATAGCATGCCTAGCAGGGTATTTGTGCAATTTGGAGTGGAGTTGGGGGATGTTAGAGAAGAAGAAAGTGATAAGTACAGAGAACAATGAAAGAGGAGTTCTCAAGATAGCGGGATCATGCATGAGTGCGGAAAATGATGTCCTGTTTAGACTAAGAATTTTCATTTTTTTTTAAAATAGAGATTGGACAAAACACTACCTTTGAGCGATATCGCAGGGTGTGCATAAAATTTTGAGGATCTACACACAAGCATTGGCTTGATTTCGTTATTATTAATATTATTACTATTACTATTACTACTATTATTATTTTATTATTATATTAAATATCTAAACAAAATTAAATTAATTGTATGTTATCATTCTCGTGCAATTTCTTATATCATGTGTATTGAATTGTATGACATCAACTCATGCACACTCAAATTTGTGTTTTTCCTTCTTGTGAAGCAATAAGGGTGTTCTTCCCAAGTAATATTGGCATTCCAGATGCGTCAGCACAACCCATTTCAGGAATGTGTGGCCTTTGCACACCTTCTATGGAGATCTTATTCATTTATCATCATGCAACTTGCCAAACTTTTAGGCATCCTTCATAAGCAATTTTAATGTTTCGAACAAATCAATGTTTGGCAAGAAGACAACGCATGATCGATTTTGATTGTCTTCGATGCATTTCAAGCATGATTTTCGTGATTTCATATACACACTCTATCATATTCATAATGCAAAGATTTGGTAATGTGAGGACTCCTTTTTGGGTGTTTTCAATATTTTGGATGCACGAACACATTTCATTTTAGCTTGATTTTGAAAGTATCAAAGCAATTAGAACCCAACTTACCATCGTGACTATTATTTGTCATTGTCATTATTCAATCAAATCAATCACGAGGGCCCTTTCTTGATAATTTTAGCACTACGAAGCATCAACATGGTCTATTTTGCGAATAAGACATATTTGACTTATTTTCATTATAATTAAAATATCTTAAATGTCTTATTCAACACTGCATCTGCTATTTGTCTTTGACTTTGAAGCAGTGCTTAACTAGGTTGAGGAGCTGAGCACCCATTGAGGTCAACAAATATCACCTTGTAATTGTAGTCAAGGAGTTTATGCATAAAATAAGATTTACTCTGGACTCAGGATATGTAGGGCATTCTTGAATGAATGCAAAAGAGGAATTTTTTTAATTGGTATAGGAATTAAGATGTCGTATATAACCTTTTTTTTCTGTTGCTAACACAAGATTTATAAGTTTGAAAAAAGATGACACGATTTATCATGTGATCATTGACTCTTAAATTTCTTATCCAAATTTTAAAGGAAACTACTTGTTACATTAAAAGTACAAGAGTTGAAATTTATACTATTTTAATCTGAACCAAAATGCATGACCAGAAAAAGTTTTTGCATGTAATTGTGGAAGTTCTTAGCTTGTCAATTTCTTCCGAGTTAAAATCTTTTAGTTAAAGAGATAGTCTACCCTTCAGATTGCCCTTTTTTATTTTCCACATAAGCATTGGGTTTTCGATAAAATTTCCAACATTCTCAATAATATAACTCTTTTTCTTGTAATAATTACATAAGTTGCCTTTGGAAAAAGGCTTTTGCAGCATTTTAAGAAGAATCAAAGGTAATTAGCCCAATAAGTTTTTGTAGTACTCATGCCAACATTTCAAAATTAAGTTTGTCAAGCATTACCATACTTCTTCCATCTTGGGATCATATAAGCAAGAAGACCTCATTAATGAATGAATTTTTTTCTCTGCTCCATTTTAAATATGAACTTGATCGAGTACTGCAAGAAACTTAAATCCTTTCCTTTATAATATTGTTTGAGAATCACAACATATACTATAACTTGAAATCTTGGTAGTAATCTAGTTTCAAACAATATACTTTTATTGTATTGAAATATTCAATGACAGAGATGTTATTTAGTTTGATTATTAAGAATTTTATCTTTTAGATGAGAGCAACATCTTTGAACTTTTAAACCAGTTAAATTAACAGCTTCTAAAATATCTTTTGCGACTGTTAGAAACATGTATAGCCCACTAATTTCCTGCATCTTCATTCTAAATTACAAACCTTAGTTCATTCAGATCCAGAGGAATATCAATAAGATGAGGACTTTTCCCTTTTATTTAAAAAGACATACAAAATCTAAGGCACGTCAAGTAGTTTCTTTCATTCAAATAATATGAGATTTATAGCCATTCAAATTCTCCTTAGATAAGACCGATTTATTTTTACCATTCATGATGGTTGCTGACCATTTGGAAGGGAAGCCAAATAAACCAGATATGATGAGAAGATTAAGAATAAAAGAGAGATAAAACAAAGGTTGGAAAGAGGACCCTAAGCATGCTTTGATGTCATAAAGAGAAAATGAAGTAGGAACGAAGCTTGCATTTGTTTATTCCTCTTATGAGTATTTATACACAAAACATCCTAGAAATATATTAGAAATTACTAATTACAAGGAATTTAAAAATCAAACTGCTATTCAAAAGTTCATATCACGGCTAACGAAAGAAAGTAGCAATCGATGTACATATTTTTGTATATTTAGCACATGAATATGTGGCTCCTTTCATTCCTTATTCAGCAATCCAATGGCTGCCAATTCTGTGAATCCATAGATATTCAGCACATTATGTAATTAAAAGAGATTAGTAAAATGTAAAGGTAACCAACATCATTCTACAAGACAAGTACTTGTTAAGAATTTTTTGTAATCAATGTGATTTCAGAATTGTGATTTGTTAATTTTTTATACTTATTCGACAACAAGTGCCGAAAGCCAATATTTTGGAATCATTATGATTTCATCACAACCATAATTTGAAACATTTTTCTATGCTCGTTCTAGAAGGATGGACAAAAGAAAAGCAATGACTATTCATTTGCTATTACCTCCAAGTCATAGTGCATTCGCAATGTCCTATAGATCATGTCACTAGAGCAATTTTCAATTTCGTAATATAGAGATAGAAATAAGGAAATCTTCCCAGAAAAACCAGCGTGAAACCAGAGAGGCCAATACAATATAGCTCCTCCTTCTATAGTGACATCCTGCAGCGGGAAAAAAAATGATAAAGTTTTAAACCAACAATGAAAATGTCCATCTAAGTACAATGCAATGGAAAAGAATTACTCACATTTGGGAAATAAAACAAAAGCTTCTTAAACTTCTGAACATTAGCTGAAGCATCCATACTTCTAGAAATTTTCTGCTTCTCAAGATAGCCAGGAAAATCCTTGTTCAAGTCTTCCAAGTTTCCTGGAATCAAGAATCTCGGATGACTGATAGTCATTCTCATGTTCTGCATAGTCCATGTTTGTCCAATTAAACTAAACTTAATCTTGAAATTGAAAAAGAAAATGGAATAGCAAATCCAAAGAGGAGTACAATAAAAAGAAGCAAGAAGAAAGTCAATGAGAAACAATTTTACCAGTTTAAGCCCTTATAACGTAGCATATTGAAAGTGTTAAAAATATTAAGTTAACCGGTACATGAGAAAACAAAATTATAAAGAGTTCTATGATGAGCAAAGGAATACAGTGGCCACTTGACTAGCTTGGAAATGACAGACATACCTTCATGGTGTATTCTGATTGATTTTTGAGTTCCATCCTAAGAAGCCTTAAATCACCTGCAAAGGCAGTTCCTGGCAGGTTGTGGATGCATCCTTCAAGTTTTGGTAGACCCTGGAATGAGGAGAAAAAAAATGGTTTATTATTCATTTTTTAAAAAAAGGGGAATAAGGTTAAAGCCCAGTTTAAAGGCTACCTTGATGACCACAAAATTAAGAATTCTTCCTGAAGTATTCCTGGCTACTCCTTTCTCTTTCTTGTGTTTCTTTTTCATATTAGGCTCGAAGAAATGATATCCAACAACAAATTCTGATAGCTTCCATCTAACTCCAAGTATTTTCAGCACTCCTTCAATCGTCGGTGTAGCATCAAGTTGTATCTGAAAAGTAACGAGGAGAAATTACTTTAGAACACTAGGTACACCGTCATGACATCATTATGCTTGGAAAAGAATGGCTTCTGAACATAGAACTGTGACTTCAGATATTTTGAGAAGATAACGAGCTGTAAAAACAAGTTCATTACAAAATTACTGAGAGATTATCATGCAAGGTTCAGTCACTAGCTGTATCAACAGACAAGAACGCTACAAGGCAATAATAGCTGATAATGATTTATAATGTTTAATATAATAGGAAACCATGGGATATCACATAATGCACTCAATACAAATCAAAAACAAAAAAAGTACGTACCATCTTAAATTTAATGGCAAAACAAATTGAGGTTTTCATCATTGAAAAGTTAAATCCTGGCATCTACTCCACAGTTACGAACTACAAGGATATAAATAATGCTTCCAACAATCTATCAAAGAATCTGCTTAAGAACTTAGTTATCAATGTACACGGTGAAAAAGGAAAGAATCACGAAACCTAGAGTTTAGTTTTCTTTTTTTTTTCAAATATAAATCTAAGACATTCATGCGTTAGGTGGGATCAAAGATAATACGGATATAAAATAGACACAAAATCAGAACAAATATATGATGAGTACAAGGCCAATCACAAATATCATATGATTTGAAGAAATTCATCATAAATAAATCTACTGAGATAGATGCCTAAAACCTTTAGATAAAAAATATAGTATACAGCTTGAACCAAACTTCTATAGTAAGCTAATCAAAATTACATTTCCATGTTTAGTGTCAAACAAGCAGCTGGCCATCAGCATTGTTTTTATTCACCCAGAAACTGCAACTATTAAGACTATAGCACAGCTGCCAGATGTAAAAACATTTCCTTGGACCATGTATACAACATTTTCAGACTAACTACAGCAACAGCACGGATGGCTGCTGATGCATCAAGCTGATAAATGAGCTTAAAAGGTGATAGGTTAAAGGGGAAAAATTAATGATGCTTCACCGCTTCAATAGAGATCTTCCTTAGCCACTAATTAAGCAGACCCAGTCTCTTTTAAAAACACATGCAAGTTTATCATAACTTATAAGAGTGCAATTACTTTGAACACACATCTAAAAGAATACAGGAAAAGCAATTCCGATAGAAGCCAACATGCTTTCACTGTAGTCAACTTTGAATTTTTCTATGATTTGCATGCATTGCAAGTAAATAACAAAACTGCACCACCACCACCGAGATAAACTTAATCCAAATTCAAGTGGTAAATTATATTTAAAAGGAAATACTGATTGTAAATCATATTTAAAATGCTTAAAATATATATTTGAAGTAAATCATAAAACGAATACAAATTTGTCAGTGATTTACGTTGACATTCAAAAAACTATATATCCTCCTCAGAATTAAAGGAACATACGTATAACTCCAAAACCAAGGATTTTACTCTATTTCCAATCAAGTATAGCAAAGCTTCAACAACTTCTTTCAATAAATGATTAAAAGCCAAAATGAAACTAATTACTATATTTCTAAATGTGAAGGTGATTTAAGTCGATAACATGAGATTAAAGAACAAAATAGCAAGATTGCAGGAATTACACAACAAAATGTAAATGGAAGGAAAAGAAAAAGTAAGACGAGATGATTGAAAGAGGGAGGGTTGTCTAGGGGCTGCGGCAGCAAAGGGAATGGCTGTGAAAGGGTTTCGGAGGAGTTGAATGGGATAAATATCCCAGTGGGATCGAGCTACAACAGGAGCACCACTCGAACTCTTGGAGAAGGTCACTAACTCGGACGAGATACATCCGGAGCACCACACATAGTCGAATACAGCCCTAGAAGAGAAACAATCATCGACAGCAAGTTAGACAGAAAAAAAAAACAGAAAGACCAAAAACTGAACCCTAAGACAACAAACAATATATTTATAATAAGTACTAGAAGTTAGAATATGAAGGGTACCGAATAGGAAGGAAATAGAATTCGTAAGAGAAAAGGCAATGGATCAAAAAAAGGTCCGCAGTATTCTAGCTGCTACAGTATCGCGACCCAAGCTCCCACGTCACATTCACCTCTACTATATGTCAGGTTTGTCAAAACGTTGAGAAGAGTTCTTAAACTTTGGGGCTGCCCTCTAAAGTGTTGTAATTGGATTACTAATTGTGTGGAACATCATAGGTATAGCCTCATGATTAATGGCAGGCTTTCACCTGGATTGAGGCGGAGTGTGGGTCCTGGCAAAGTTGCCCACTTTCATCATACCTCTTATTATTTGCTCGAAGCTTCTCTTTTTATAGCCATAAAACAAAAAGTGCATCATGTCGGGTTGCGTATTTCCAATGGAACTACCTGCATTTATCACCTCTTGTATGTTGATGATATCATACTTTTTTGCAAAAGCCAATTTGCACAAGGTCAGGCTGCTCAATAAAATCATTAATGATTATTGAATAAGATGGTCTACTATCACGTTTAGCAACGCCACGCCCACTAGAGAATGTTGCATACTTCTTTCATTTTACCGGGTCGAGGAATTTGAGTATCTTGTCATAAAGCTTGCTTTCCAAAAATTGCATAAGGAAGACTTCATGGAAATTGTTCATAATGTTGTCATCAACTTGAATAATTGGGGTGTTAGACAACTATCGCTTGTCAGACGGGTTATGCACATTAAGAAATCGCTCCTCTCTATATACATATATATATATATATAGAATCACCCACATGGAGGTCCCCAATAGTGTTCTACAGAAATTGCAGAGGAAGTGCAGGCAATTCCTTTGGCGCAAGGATCTGTCGCGTCCTAATCTCCACAACATAGCTTGGGAGAAGCTATGTTAGCCAATTCAAGTCGGATGTCTTGGCTTCACGCCACTGATGCCTGCAAAGGGCCCTTGTGGGCTCGACTTGCATGGAATTTTATGCAGGATCAAAATTCTCTACTGCATACATGTTTTAGAGAAAAATATAGAAGCAACTTATTGACTCAAAGTTTTCAACGCAACACCTTGACTACCTGAAAAAATCCTGTGTAATGGGGCCGTAACACTCAATGAAGATATACGGTGGAAGATTGGCAATGAGGAATAGCATCCAGGCTGTTAATCACTCATGGATCAATGACATGCCCATTGCTAATACCGAAAGGCTTGCTCATACCAAAAGGCTTGCATTGTTGTGGATTTCTTATTAATGAGCAGTCGAATCAACAAGCTCTTAAGGAAAGCTTTCACATCGACATTATAGATTGCATTCTTGCAATCCTGATTCATCACAACATCGAAATGGGCTATTGTGAGCTCAACAAAATGCACTCCGGAAAGACTATTATAGCCTTGGCTTATGAGGCAAGCTTCCCTCCTTCCACATGGAATTATGGATCAAAAAGTCGTGCCTTCACCCACAAGAGTGCATGTTTTGGTGGAGACTTTTACTTGTTGTTATATCTACCAGAGAATAGTTAGCAAGAAGAGGCCTTGCTGATGTTTGTATGTGCCCACGGGTTCGCTCAACAACAGAAAATTTATCGCATATTACAATCAATTGCTCAGTTGTAAGAGAGGTAACCAGACTGCTTGATAATTGGGGCATTTGTTTACCAACGTTCCAGTACTTTGATGAGATTGTGACTCATTTAAGCAACACGGATAGAGGCAATGCTGCTCTGAATCGATCTACTGCTATGTTATTCATTATAGTTAACGGGCTCGAAATGCTAAGGTTCATGGTAGTTCTTACGCAACACCAATAATTATTGATGCTACATTACTCGAAACCCTCACCTCAACCCATCACTTTCCTTTTCAGGAGCAGTGGAATGCTAGTCAACCGAATAGGTTGTCTTCATCCCTTACCTAGCATCCCCTAGCTAAAATCCCCCCTCCCTGAACGGTTAAAGGTCAACATAGATGGAGCTTTGATTTTGTCAAGAATTGCTGCTGCTAGCATTGTCATCTGTGATGAGTATGGTAACGGTTTGGGAGCGGCAGGACAAAGGTTCGAACATTGGGATAGTGCCCAGATGGAATTCAGAGTCATTTCTTTAATCCAGCTTATCAGTAAGCCCTAGATGTTTGAAACTAAAGATATTATCGTTGAAGGAGACAACAGCAACATTATCAAACTTCTAAGATCTTCCATGGAAAGCCTTGCTCCAGATTTAACTTTCCTTCGTTCAGACAAGTGGTGTTCATACACTCTTAAAGATTGCAACAAGGCATCTCATTTTTGTGCTAAAATTGCATTAGATATTATTGTTTTGTTGAAATATGTATATAAACATAGTGTTCTTTCTTCTATTCTTATAGAAGTCAAGTCATACATTTCTACATGATAAATACATACGCGCATAACTTCTATAATTATTTGTTTTTTATGCAATATGTGCAATTTCAAGAAAACCCCATATTGCTCAACATACAATCCCTAAACACTAAAAGAGTTTTGAGGAAGGGATCATCCTTTGAGATCATAAATATTTTTTAAAGCCCACACATTTTAAAGGCAAACTTAAACATTCAATTGCCGTATTAGTTTACCAAAAGAGAAAACATGTGTGCCTACTTATGAAGTCCAAAAGAGACATGATTACAACTCACGTTAGAAATGAGGGTCAAGACAACTTTCCCAAATTTCAAAACTTCAATGGGAAGTTTTTTATCATTCATTTATATCATTTGGGAAAAAAAACCTTCATGCATGGTTAATACATTGGGGCCTAAGATGGTCACATGTGTGTGATAAGAAAATTTAATAATAGGGAAAACCTACCCTTTTAGCCTCACCTCCACCAAGAATCTGATCAATTTCTGATAAGACAAGGGATGAAGCGTCAACAATTCTACTTCTGCAACAATCAACAATTTCAAACTTAGTAAGACAATCAAATCATGAGAACTCAGAATTCAAAGTCAGGTAATAACTAAAAGGTTCCAGCAGAAACTATGAAACAGAAACAGCCTATACCTACAGCTTGGAGCGTCTTTAAGTTCTTCATTAACATCATTAAAAGAAGATGCGCCCCAATCTGCATAGTTAACATAAAAATAATTCAGAAAGTCAATAAATCCACTGAATGAATTATAGACATGCAGAAGGGAGGACGGTGACTTGCCAGTGTTTGTCACTTCAGATTTTGCACAGAGATCGCAAATCAGAGAAATGCCGGAAATAGAAATTGGAATCTGAAGAGGATTTCTGAACTCGATATATACTTTTATTGCTTCTGCAAGTAAGTAACATAAATATTTAGTATACCTACCAAAAAACATTGTCACAAAATGCAAAGTCAAATATTCATACTTAAAGAACTATGTCTCCTCTCTTTAAGGTGCCTTGGGTACCTTTTAAAGCTTTAGCTAAAACAAATTTTTGTAAAAAAACATCCAAGTGATGAGGTAGCGTGTTTAAAACATAATGTAACATGCATGAATTTGCATAGTGAAATAAAAAGATCAATCACATAATGTAACATGCATAAAACATAATGTTTCAAAATTTCAAGAATGTTTGCTGTTGGTGTGATACCAAGAAAATCAATTATTTAACAGCAGATATAAACTACATTGGTAATAGCCAATGTCAGATTTGGTAACATAACACTACACGACAAATATAAACCTTGATGAATAGAAACAAACGGTTGGAGTTAAAAAGTTAACATCAAATGTATGGCTAACTCATTGACATTAAAACAAATTTAAGAGAAAATTAATCTTAGGATAATGCTGATGACCGATGGTTGTGATGATAATACAACATTTGGCCAAGTAAAACAGATAGTCTAGAACGACTCCTAAGATAATCTTGAAAAAACAGTTCTAAGAATCCACTGCAGAGTGAAGCATAGTAATGATGCATAGGTGTGATGATCTACAAACAGTAAATTTTAAAAATTCCTAGTACATTTTGAGTCTGTTTCTCTAAAATATGGTTGGCAGAACTAAGTGTCGGTGTGGGATGCACATTGTCAACCTAGTAAATGAAAATCGATAAGCTGCCTTAAAATTTTTTAGCTATATGGAGGGGATACAGACTTCTCAATCAGAAAATAAGTGTAATGCAGAACTAAACCATGAGAATTGCTGAAGATTGCTACCTTAAAATCCATAATTCCAATGCCAAGAAAAGGAAGTTTAAAAATTACGAATACCAATCAGAAATCGAACTAACAATGAAACCATACCTCCAACAACACAAACTTGACAGTCATTATAGTTTTTGAAGGACAGCTTTGACTGTGATTCGAGCCAATTTGATTTAGTAGTAGATGTCAATGGAATCATTTCCTCCTCCAATGATTTCCATAGGTTTTCATTTACATTGACCTGATTCCACACCAAAATAACAAAAAGAAATTGAATTTTACAGAGCAGAGATAAACGTTCAAGTAAATATTTTCAAGAAAGAATGTTAACTAATCTAGCTATCCATATAATATGTTACCCTAATGCAAATTAAGCAAAGCTGAGGAGATGCTTGTAGTCAATTAAAGGAAATAAAATTCAAACAAAATAAGGCCAATAGTAGAAACTCCGTGATAGCGATCTAATGGTTATAGTCAATACAAACATGACTACCATTTGAATTTTTCATCTAATAAATAATTTTACGATTATTTTCACTGTTCATAAAATAAACAATAGAAAAGCCATTAAAGACTTAAAAAAGCATTTCTACATTGTATAACTATATAAATAAGATGGATGCAAACAATGCCATTAAGAACTTTCTAGACATATAAATTGCATACTTGACATAGTATTATGAGGATCTTTTTTATAATTAATTAATTATTAGAAGGCCTCATTTCTTTTCTTTCCTTGATAAGGGTAATTTAATAAACGGAGCTCATCTTCTTCATAGAGCTCGTCGAGCTGCACCTGTTCTGCCGCTTCAACTTCTGCGGCTTCACCCCGACCGTCTTCTACAGTTTCGACCATCCTCTGTGGTTTCAACCGTCTTCTGCGGCTTCGCCTTGACCGTCTACTGCGACTTCCGCGGCTTTGACTTCTGCGACTTTTTGTTTTTCCCTCATCCTCGAGCTCAAGCTGAAATCACGGGCGCTTCAAAAAGGGGTTTCCGCACCTTCTCCCTATTCTGATTCGAATTTTGCTCTTTGTTTTGTTTTCTTCATTGTTCTTAATGTCGCACCTACATCTATTGGGGATGACTTCAGACAGATGTATGTCGCTGCCCTTGCGGGTGTCCACTTTTTAGGTACACCTAAATCGTGTTGTTTCCCTCCTTCGTTTGAGTGGACGGAAGACATCAAGAAACCTGGTAGGAAGAATGAGAAGTTTGTCATCTTTTAAACAGAAGATGAAAACATTCAACGGGCTTCCTCCTGTCGACTTAATTTGTTCTGAAAATTTCTATATGGTTATCCCAAAATGGAGCTGATTCGTAAAAAAATTGAGCTTATGCACTTAATTGGGGAGTGAAAAATTTGTGGAAATATTGAAGAGGATTACACGCGCATATTTGCTAGAAGGATAATCTAGATTGATAACAGAGCAATGAAAATTTCTAAGCCGAACCCACCAATCATTCCGGTTTGGATTCGCCTCCCTGGTATGAAATTATATTATTTTACTCAAAAAGTGTTGTACTTCATTGCCTAAAGGATAATCTAGATTGATAACAGAGCAATGAAGATCTAAGACGAAACCACCAATCATTCCGGTTTGGATTCGCCTCCCTGGTGTGAAATTATATTATTTTACTCAAAAAGTGTTGTACTTCATTGCCTAAGCTTATGGTAAGCCACTCAAAACGGACATTCTTACTTTTAATTTTTCCATAGTACTTGTTGAAACAGACATCAGTTCATCCGCTTCTGAGAAAATTTGGTTAGACACACAGTACCATAGTCTGAAATTCCATTATTTAACTCAAAAACTGTTGTACACTATTGTCCTAGCTTATGGTAAGCCACTCAAAACGAGCATTTATACTTTTAATCTTTCTCGTCCATCTGAAGCTAGAATACTTGTTGAAAGAGTTATCACGTCATCCGCTTCTGATAAAATTTGGTTGGGCATACAGTATTATGGATATTGACAAAAGGTAGTGGTTGAGCTTTTTCTTTTTATTGTTCGAACTTTCATATGTTCGGTCACTCCAGTTCTCAATGCCACCATCTACACCCCCACCTCAGACCAAAAAAACACAGTGCTCCACCAGAGAAGACAGTGGTGAATTCATCTCCTCCTGATCAGCTCCAAGTTATTGACACTATTGATCATCAAAAGGATACCCCTGAAGACGTCATTATTCTCGCAATCAATATGACAACTATTCAGTCTCCACACAATGTTTTAGCTCCCCCGTTTTTGGAATCTCTTATTGTGGGAGAGGGACATTCTTCAAACCCCACCTGCCCTAGAACTTAGCGCCGATATTACAGGTGGCAATACTTCTATTGCTTTACTACCGCCTCATCAGGTCAAGAAAGCTGTTAATGTTACTCAGGCACGTGGGGATCTTGATGTGCAATAGTCTACACCTATCCGACCAACATTAGAACAATCTATTGATCATATGAGTCAATCATCGGATGAGGAATAGCAGGTCTATACATCCAAGCGAAAGAAAAAGAATGGAGACAGGAGACCTACTTGAGCTTAGGAATCTGATAGATGATACTTTGGTTATTTCAAGCAATGGGACTCACCTTGCTAATTTGTTAGCCGGCTCACTTCCAAGAACTAGAGGCAGAGGGAGGACCAAAGTGGAACGTCCATAGCACTTTTGCGCCCTTTGGTGGCTTTTTTATCTTTTATGTTTATGTATCTTTGTTTTATTTGGGATTTGTGTGTTATATTGTGTGAGTTGGACTTTTTTTAAGCCCTCTCATACAACATTTCTGTATCTTTTCCGCTTTAATATTTTAGTCCATGGGTATATATATATATATATATATATAAGAAAAAATGTCTTCTCCAACGCTCGGCACTACTAAGGTTTTGTCCCATGTCGAACCCTAGCAACTCTTATAGCATAAGATCATTTCCTTTCCTCACATTTCTTCTCCGACGTCGTCTCTCTGTCCTCTCCGTCATCGTCGGCTCGCGTTGCTTCGACATTGACTGTGGCTTGCGTCTGCGACATTCGAAGCCGACAGAGTTTGCATCTGTTGCGTCGTCCCTATTTGATTTCGACGCTGACAGTTTCGCACGTTTCACACGTCTTCTTCGGTTCCTATCTTCTGCGCGACATTTCTGCGGCTTTGCCCATACCGTCTTTGGCTCGCCATTTCTGTCCTCTGACCAACTTGGCAAGGCTTCTAACTGTTGTGATGGAGCTTCCTTCTTCTTCGGTTGAACCTGACAAAGCGTCTTTTGCCCATATTGTGGGTAATCCTCAGGTGGAGACGGCGGTTGTCTTCCCCTCAAGTTATAAAGAATATTGTTACGGTACAGGTGACTGCTCATTTATTAAGAAACAAGCAAGAAAAGTGGGAAAGCAACATTCTTTTTCTCAGAGCTAGAAATTTCAACACTAACTGACAAATTCATGTTTGCTCTTATTGGAAAATTTCAGTGGGAGCACACACCTAGAAGTTATCAGGAAAAGTTTTGATGATTTTAAATTAGCAGGAAAGTGAAAAGTATGGCTCATGGATGAGAGACATATATTGATTCAATTAACCGTGACTGAAGACTACACTCAAATTTTCTCCAAAAAATCAAATTTTCTCCAATTTTCTCCAAAAAATATCTTAGCATTGCTGATAAATCAATGAAGCTACTTAAGTGGTCTCCTGATTTTGACCCCAATCATGAACCTCCTACTGTACCGGTATGGTTTAGTCTATCAGGTCTTAAGCTGCACTTTTTTCATCATCAGGTTATGTACTATATTGGGGTCATCATACTTGGAGACCCTATGAAGCTAGATCTACCGACTTTCAACCTAACCAGACTTTCTGTGGCCAGAATACTTGTGGAAAGAGAATACTTTATCTGATGTTATTGAAGTCTGGTTGGGCGCAACTCATAATGGATATTGGTCACAAATCGTTATGGAGCATAAACCGTCTTATTGTTCTCATTGTAATATGTTTGACATACACTTGATAAATATCATAAGTTTCATCCTAATTTGAAATCTAAATATCAAGTGAATCAGGATGGATCAGGATGGATCTAATCTCACTACTTCTAATCTCACTACTTTGGACATATTTGTTCCATCTGGAGAGAAAGCTACCACAGGACAGGATTTAGATATCACTAAAAATCAGTCTCCTACCATCCCTGTTGAGAAGGTGCAACCCGATCCTCTACCCAACATCGCAGTTCCTGATGAAGAATATCATACTACAAGTACAGATCCAAAAGTGCTTATATCAAAAGTGCCCAAAAGTGCTTATATCACTCACCGTTATTAAAGAAGACTCACTTACATGCCAAGACACACGAGTGCTCCTTTGATTCAATCAAAAATCAGAGGTTAAAGCAAGCAGTTATTTCTAATGTTCAACATCCTACACATGTTCGGCACACTTTAGACCAATCCACTGATCCGACGAGCCAATTTTCAGATGAGGAATGACAAGTCTATTCCAGGAGGAAGAAGAAAATTGGAGGCCGACTCGAGCTTGGGAATTTATTGGATGATACTTTGATCACTATTGGCAATGACGCTCATCTTATCAATTTATTAGCTGACTCCTTTCCTAGAACTAGAGGCAAAGGCAAAGCAAAATTGGGTCCCTCTCTAGCTACCTGATACTACTTTTTTTGGCATTTTTTGTTTTTTCTTTAGGTCTGTTGTAATTTTCTGTATTCTCTTTTTTTGGAGATATTTGTATCTGATGGTTATAATAGGGGAAGGGTGGCATGCTTTGGCCCTTCCACGCAATCTCCATTGAATTAAAAACCAATTGTTGAGATCTAAAGAACAGATATATACAAGTTTAGTAAGCAAAATTCCCCATTCCAATTCATTCCAAAATTTCTTCTATTAATCCGCTTGAGTGACAAGGGGGCACAGATTGAGATCACTCCATCTATCTTGAAGCCAGTGTCTTGGCTTGAGACTTAAAAATCTCTCTTGAAGCCTGTAGTAGGGTTGTTTGACTCTATCTCACATAGCGAAATTCCCACTCTCAAAATCCCTTCGCTTGAAACCTTATGATTTTGCAAACTTGCTCAAATTGGCTCCACTTGGCCAACCCTTGATTCTCTCTCATTGCAATAAGCTCCCTTATCGTGGCAATTCAAACTAAAGGAGTGGGGACGTCACAAACCAAAACATTGTGCCCAAATAAATTTGGTTCTACTTTTTTGCAATCTAGTTATATTTATATTTCTAAAGGCTAATTATTAATCACCTCTTTGCATTATCTTGGATTTCTTTATCACATTATTTTGGAATTTTTACATAATTTTGGCATTGATCTACTTAGTTATTAAATGTGCTTTCCATTATTGCAAAAATTTGAAGTGTATGAAGATAGAGCGCCCAGTGGCTTAAGTCGAACCTAAAGTGAGCACATTAAAACAATGGTTTTGAACAAAATCAAATACAATTCGAGATCTAACAAAAATCAAATAAAACTAGAAAATAACCTAAGCACATCTCGTTTTCACCGTAATTTTAACCCCTTTATTTTTAATGGTAGACCCAAAGGAATACACCATTATACCAAGGTATAACTTAATCATCAAGCAATATTAATTGATGATTTTAAATTCAAATCGCTTATAATTGCTCATTTTATGAATACAAAACCCTCCATCTTTCTCGAATAATCTAATGGGTCTCACTAAACAAAATTAAATCACTTGTAAATAGAAGGAATAAGGGCAACTCATTTTAAATATCTTTATAGCAACTTCAAACCATTCAAAGGAATTATATTTCATCTCCATAATCATCCTCATCCAAATTAGTTGGGCTAAATTTCAAAATGGTCCCCGCACAATTCGAATGTGGCTAAATTAGTCCCAAAGCTTTGCAATGCTCCAATGTAATCCCCCAGCTAATAAAATTGATTCCAATCAAAGACTAAATTGGAATCAAGTTTGTACAATTGAGAGACTACATCGGGATATTTTTTGAGTTATGATGTCTATATGAGGAACTTTTGGATAAATTTTAATAGTCAAAATACTAAATTGGAGTATTGCAAAACTCTTAGACTAAAGTGACCATAAACAAGAGAACGTTTTGGGATTTAAGTCATAATTAGCCTTATCACAAGTATCTCACAACAGTCGCATGAATCCTCCATCCTAATGTTGGACGTCCAAAAGCCTAAGGATTTTGAAGCTGATAAAGCATATAATGTAGGTTTAGATGTGTTTAACCAACACAACAAAAATGCAATCGTCAAAGCAAGCAAATGATTAATATTAACATAATTATTTACTAATTCTAATGAAAATATAAATAGCAGGGAGACCATTTTGGGATTTAATTCATTATTAGTCTTGTCCCAACTATCTCACATCAATTGTATGAATCCTCCATCCTAATTTTGGACATCCAAGAGTCTAAAGATTTTGAAGCTGATGTTGACCTCACTTTTGTCGACAACTGATAAAGCATACAATGCAGGTTTAGATGTGTTTAACCAACACAACAAAAATGCAATTGTCAACGCAAGCAAGTGATTAATATTAAAACCATTACATACTAATTCTAATTAAATAGCAAAAAAAATTATTTTGAAAAGAAATAATTTTGGTATTTTGCCATAAAATAATGATAAGAAGTTTAAGCATAGAGTGAAATTCCAGCACGACAAACAAAACGAGATTGAAGCAAACCTTTCAAAATTTAATCAAATTTTCAACTTACAACGAAATGAAGAGAAAAAAAAGTACTCAATAAGTTTAGCACAAGAAACAAACATAGACTGAAGCAAACTTGTCAAAATTTAGTCACTTTCAACAGACAAAAACAAATTAAGAGAAAAAAATAAAAAGGGAGAAGAAAGATGATAAGAAAAGTACTCAATTAACATGTTTGAACGAAGTGAAATCAAGATTTAATTGCACATTCAACCTATTTTAATAAGTGAAGAGAAGAAGAAGAGACGGCGATAGAAAATGAGGAAATGCACAATATATAAAATTCTCTCGTAAAGAAAGAGATGACTATTTCTAAAATAATTTAGGTTTTATACCTATCAATAATTTGACCACAACAGAAAAAAAATTGAATTACACATCCTAAAAAAAATTTATCAAGCTACCAAAAGAGTTATTGCATGTCTCAAATAAACCTATTTATAAAACTCATTTAATTCCATGAAAGTCAAAAAAAAAAAAAACTGAAAATCACTATAAAAATCAACATAACTAAATAAGAAAAGGATACCAAAACTACAAGGACAAGCATCACTGATAAAAAATGGGGCCGGTAAATTAAAAAATTGAGTTCTTCAACTTTATTTTTAATTTATATAACATAATTTTTTTTATTATTATTGTTTTAATTCTTAATCCTTTTACTTCAATTATATGTACTGCATACCAGTACATCTTTGCAATGCAGCCATTTGTTGGTGATACATAGTACAAGTGGAAAATAGAGACGAATAAAAAATAGGAATGCAAAAGAAAGTGTTGCTAGTTAACAAGTAAACAGGTAATTCCAAGAATAAGAACACGCACCAACAAGGTTAACATGTACAATAGTTGCTTGTCATTCATCATTGGTTACCAAGTTTTAATCCAATGCTTAACGGAAGCATAATAAAAACTGAAATAGTTAGTTATTTATGATTGAATCTCCAAGACACAGCAGCAATCATTTACTATCGAAATTGACTTTTGTAATGAAGTCATGCAAATCTGGTTCAAAAGGATTATAAGGGGATTGAGGAGGCTATTGAAATTTAAATGTACTATTGAAAAGTTTAGCCAATTAATTGATATCCTGGAACTTTTTAAATTATGAGAGTTAGTCTTAAGGTTCTCCAACTTACATCTGCAACTGATGCGTAAGTCCGATGATCTTCATAAATAACTCCAATGGATGACATATTTAAGACAGGAAGCTGAAGCTTTTTAACTTCAAAAATCTTCCCCGTATTCTGATGCATCAATAAAAGATCTATAAGCACAAATCTGAGTTCGATCCAGAAAAGGAATAAGGAAGCAAATCAATCCAAACTACCTCAACTGTTTGGAAGAAGTTCCCCAAGAATAAATCTTGTGTTGTCACCGACTGATGGCTGCATGCAAGAACCTCCAACATGTGCTTCACAGACACATCAAATATTCCAACAAAAGCATACCACCTGAACCAGATGATAGATTATAAGATATCAGAACTGGTAGGATTCCATCCATCACAAAGACCGATTATAGATACTAAACTACAACCAAAAAGAACACCATACCTACCTTCCAATATTGTAATGAACATGGTCAAGAATAAAATTCCAGGGAATTCCTCTGTACACTAAGAGAGAGTTTCTATATGTTCGAAGTGCATGTGATCTCTGCATTGTAGAGACACCCAGCATAGGAAATCAACGAAAATTTGATTCATCATCTCCATTTAATTCTAAGCAAAGTAAAGCTTATGGAAGATAGACCTACCTGATCAGAAACATAGTAACGATTACCAGCAAGAACAAGATGAAAACCATACTTGCGCAACATAGGTGGTCTAGAAAATAAATAGCTATATGAAGCCTGCTCAAGCATTACAGCTGCATGTAGAGGTGGTTCCTGGGGAAGAACAGACGTCAAGAACACAAAAATAATACACAATTGCTGAGACAATCTACATATAATACATTAGCAATGAGTACATGAGCACCCACATGCTAGCATAATTATCCTGTCAGTAAATAAAATCACCTCACTAGAAATACGAAAATAAATGCCAGCTGCCTCCTTATATTGGCCCCTGGTCTTCAGCATTTCTGCCCACCAGAGACCACATCTTGTAGCATTTCTCTGAGCTAAAGGCACAAGTTTCTATAGATAGAATAGAAAATCATCAGAATAGAACAATATTCAAGCACATGCTTAGATAATAAGTAAGAATACAATTAATGTAGATAAACAATTTTCACAAAAATGTAACGTGGAATTTTTTATGATCAAAACTTGTGCATAAGCAAGCAATAGGCCAAGTATATAGTTCCAAAAGATTAATAAAAATTGGTTCTCTTGAGAAGAAAGGAGTAAACATTATACCAGGTAAGTGTTAAAAGCAGTTTCCATGCAAATTTCTGAATCCTTCCTTGATTGATCTAGCATAAAGTAGGCAAGTCCCATCATTTCCTGCATGATGAATGAAAAAAATAAAACTGTGACATAAATGGTTAACAATCAAGAATTACATGGAAATAATCAAATAAAGCATCCATAACTAAAGCAAAAAAGATATGGGCTAAAAGCAGATCCTTGATGTAATCCAATTGAAATAGGAAAATACTTAAGCAATCCTCCTGTTCGAACACAAGTAAAAGCTCTAGAATACATGTTGTGGAATTTGTGATAAGAACATCATAATATTATTGACAGAATGAGGGGATATTTAAACAAAATTACGATGGATACAATAAAGGAAAAAAACACAGAGAGAATAAAATATATAGGAAAGAAATAAAATAAAATAAAACAAATAGGAAAGAAATAATAAGAAAATAAAAGCTAATAACATGTAAAAATTTTAATTTTCCTCTCAAGTTGAAACATAGATGTCAGTCATGTTTACTTTTTATTTGAAGTCATCGAACAAAGGACGATGGAGATTCTTGATGAGAATGTCCGCTAGTTGATCACTAGAGAGCACAAAAGAACACAAACATCCACAGACTCAATTTTTCCAATCTCTGCATGCTTGGTACGATTATGTTGGACTGGATTGTGAGCAATGTTGATTGCGACCTTATTGTCACAAAATAGCTTCAGCATTGTTCCGGACAACCACATAATATTTTTTGCTTTTCCACGTGACAGGTTTTGGCCCATAAAAATAAAAAATACCCCGAGGTGGAACATCGATCATAAATCAATCCGTCCCAATCAACATCTATATAAACAACAATAGACCGAGAGGTGTGATGGAAGAAAACTAACCTGAGCCTGGTATGCCTTTTAAATAGTGGAAAATCTGGTGGACAGTACGAAGATTATGCTCATAGGGGCAAATATGAGCGAGGTAGATGAGTCTTGTTGATAGGTACAACATTTAAAATGTCAAATAATTTTACAGTGAGATCCATAGAAACAACAATAGGTTTGCAAAGAAAAAAAATTGTTCTTTGTCAAGAGATCAATCACATAATTGCGTCCAAGTCACTTCCATGCCTAGGAAGTACCAAAAAGATCTCAAGTCCTTCATTTCAAATAGCTTAAAAAATGTCTTTCAAGTACTCCAATGCTGGGAGATCGTTTCCTGTAAGAATAAAATCATCAAACTAGACAATAAGAATAGCTACCGAGTCATTGGAGGAATGTCGGAAGAAGAGGGTGTGATCTAATTGAGCCTGAATAAAACCATGGCCCACGATCAACTTAGTGAACTTGTCAAACCAGGCACTTGAGGACTATTTTATCACATAAAGGGACTTTCGTAGCCTGCATATTTCCCTCTGGAGGTGGTGGAGTCAAAGCCATGTAGAAGAGACATGTATACCTATTTTGTAAGCTCTCCATTTCTTGACATTCCAGATTCACTACAAGTGACAACAGAACACGAATAGTGTTCAACTTAGCCGTTGGAGCAAATGTCTCCACACAGTCAACTCTGTATGTTTGTGACCACCCTTTTGCAACCAATTGTGCCTTGTTGAATTCAAAAGATTCATCAAAGTTGAACTTGGTGTTGAAAATCTATCGGCACCCTACAATTTTCCCCGAGGAAATCCACGATGTCTCATGTATGGATACGCTGAAGGGTATTCATCTCCATTATTACCGTTTTCCAGACTAGCTTGGCAAGAACAACCTCAATAGTAGCAAGGATCTGACGATCTGTTATGGTGGTAGTAAATGCTCTATATGTTGATAATAGACTGTGAAAAGATACATATTTTATCATAGAATAAAGAGAACATGTCTGATGGTGTACCTTACTTGAAGAACTCGCCCCCTGTAATAACTCATTTTGATAAATCAGATCAAAATGTTTGGCAACGTAATATGTATCCCAATTGTCGCACCTCTCAGATTTCAACTCAGTTAATTTTATAAAAGTTTACGCATCAAATCAAACAATTTGATATATAATATTATATATAAATTATGAATAGATTGAAAAATATAAAATTTTGAAGCTATAAGCATTATCAAATTAATTAAAAAACCTTAATTATCTTAAATCTCTCACTAATCTTACCGTTATTAAAGCTAACCGACCTAAATCCATTCATTGTACTCGTTGAATAAGGTAATCATCCATCCTGAGCTCTCGAATTTTCTCCTCCCCTCTCCCGTTACTCCTCTCACTCTCTTAGTTGCGTTCCCTCGGCCTCCCTCTCTTTCGGTTTCACTTGACAGAAGGTCAAGGGGGGGACTTTCAATCGTAGCAAAGCCTACAGCCGCGAGCAGAGGTGACCAAACGGCCATCTGGTAAACCGCGACCAACTCCCTGCTTATGATTTCCTCTCCCGACCCTTCCTAGACGATTCCTCTCCTTATTCGGCCTTGCAAGCATCCTGCGCCTCTAGCACTGTAGCAGAGTCGCGCAAAGGAGGCAAGCGGCCCGCACAGAGCTGCAGAGGACATTTGGGGTTTTCGGATGAAATCTTAAGGTATGAAACCTTATTTCACACTATTTGACAAAATGATTTCCTTAATTTTGTTTCCATTTTGAGATTTACCTTATTTTTCATGTATTTTTAATTTCCAGTATCCACTCGAGGCTTTGATCATGTGTCAAAAGTATCATAAGTGATGTGTGAGTTTCTGTAAGGATTTTAACTCGAAATCAATGGAAGGGAAGGAAAGTTTGAGAAGATAGAAAGAAGATTTTGCAGCTTCGGAGAAGTGTTGGGTTGTCAAGAAACCGTTTAAGGTATATTTTAGCAAATCAATTATATTTTTAGTTAAATTACCTTATGAGCCCAGATATCTCGAAATCCAAAGTTAATAGCAAATTCCAGGTTGTTTATCTGAGACGGCAAGTTTGGGACAAGCGCGTAAAAAATAATCCCAGGTGAATAATTATATGTTAATTTAAGAAGAATAAATATATTTATGAAAATCAATTGAATTTTAAAATTTAATTTTATGTTTTATAGATTATTAAGCTCAACATTGAAGTCACCGCAACCTCCAATTAGCTATCGAAGAATAAGATGAGGTGAGTAATTATATTTCTGAATTTCAGTAATTTTCTTTATTTCAAAATATATGTTGATTTCTAGGTATGTTTTAGTTCAATTGGATTTGTATTGCAACAAATTCTTCATAATGTTAGATAGAAAATAAATGCATGACATAAAAAATATACAAGGTATGATATGAAAGATATGTATAAGAAGCATGATATTTATGATATGTATGACAAGAAAAAAAGACATATTAGGAAAAATATATTTATGATAAGCACGATAGAAAAAGGTGTACATGATATAAAAAATCTGCATGAGATACGAGTTATGCAGGATATGAAAATTACATATGTCATGAGATAGATACAGAAACGATATAATGTATGTCATGAAAAATGAAATTGTTTATATATGGATTTTTGTATGTGCATGTTTAGAGAAGGGTTTCACCTCCGAATGGTATAGGCAGGGGATGTTAGTGTACCCGCATTTGTAGAATTTTGCTATTACCCTAGACAATTATGATGGTTATTTCACTAATCGTTGTACTGACAAGAAAATATCGACCACGAGTGAGTAGATCACTTACCTCCCAAGTCAATATAGGCAGGGGATGTCAGTGTACCCGCATTTGTAGAATTTTTCTATTACCCTAGACAATTATGATGGTTAGTTCACTAATCGTTGTACTGACAAGAAAATATCGACCACGAGTGAGTAGATCACTTACCACCCAAGAAAATTGTGATGTTTACATTACTAACTGTTGTGCCGACAAGATAATATCGGTTAGGGGCAGGTAAGGGTCTTTCCACGCATTATATATATATATATATATATAATATTTATTTTTATTTTTTTTGTGCAAAGGTTGATCGCCGATCAACCTCATAGACCGAGGGGCAAACTCCCTTCCAGAAATATGTGCAATTCGATCCTACGCAGGGATCGAAATCCTGACCCGAGGGACTTACACCAAATGCCGCAACCAATCAGTCTGGTTCGCGCACACACACACATTATCATTCATATGAAGTGACA